GTTATTTGATGGGTAAGAAGTTTTCCCATTGCTGATTACTTACTTACTTACGCCTGTTACCCCTCGTCGAGGAGCATAGGCCGCTCACCAGCATTCTACATCCAACTCTGTCCTGAGCCTTCCTTTCCAGTTCTTTCCAGTTACTATTCAGCCTTTTCATATCGGCTTCTATTTCCCGGCGTAGTGTGTTCTTTGGCCTTCCTCTTTTCCGCTTCCCTTCCGGATTCCAAGTTAGGGATTGAGTCGTGATGCACATTGGTGATTTCTTTAATGTATGTCCGATCCACTTCCAACGTCTTTTCCTAATAATCCTCTTCAGCTGGAAGCTGGTTTGTCCTCTCCCATAAAATGCTGTTGCTGATAGTATCCGGCAAGTGAATGTTGAGTATTTTGCGAAGACAACTGTTTATAAATACTTGTATCTTCTTGACGATGGATGTAGTGGTTCTCCACGTTTCAGCTCCATACAGTAGGACTGTCTTGACGTTCGTATTGAAGATTCTCACTTTGAAGTTTGTTGATAGTTGTTTTGAGTTCCATATGTTCTTCAATTGTAGAAATAATGTCCTTGCTTTGCCAATCCTCGCCTTTACATCTGCATCCGATCCTCCTTGTTTATCAACGATGCTCCCCAGGTACTTGAATGTTTCCGCCTCTTCCAGAGTTTCGCCATCAAGTGTGATTGGGTTGGTGTTCTCCGTGTTGCATTTGAGAATCTTGCTTTTTCCTTTGTGAATGTGGAGGCCTATCGATGCGGAGGCTGCTGCTACATTTGCTGTCTTCATCTGCATTTGGTCGTGTGTATGAGAGAGGAGGGCTAGGTCATCTGCGAAGTCCAAATCATCTAATTGATTCTGAGAAGTCCATTGTATTCCGTATTTCCCTTCAGATGTCGAATTCTTCATAATCCAGTCAATCACTAAAAGGAAGAGGAATGGGGAGAGTAGACAGCCTTGTCTGACTCCGGTCCTTACTGGAAATGCATCTGTCAGCTGTCCTCCATGCACCACTTTGCACTGTAGTCCATCGTATGAGTTTTGGATAATGTTGACAATCTTTTCAGGAACTCCATAGTGTCGAAGAAGTTTCCATAATGTTCTCCTGTCCACGCTGTCAAACGCCTTCTCATAGTCGATAAAGTTGACGTATAGTGATGAGTTCCACTCAACTGATTGTTCAACGATGATCCGTAGTGTCGCAATCTGGTCTGTGCACGACCGATCCTTACTGAATCCAGCCTGATGATCCCTAAGTTCGGCGTCTACTGCGTCTTTCATCCGATTCAGCGGCACTCTGTTGAAAACTTTTCCTGGTACTGATAACAAACTGATGCCTCTGTAGTTCTCGCATTTGCTCAGATCTCCTTTCTTTGGTATCTTGATGAGATATCCTTCTTTCCAGTCCGTTGGCACTTGTTCCTCTTCCCAAATCTTTTTGAATAGAAGGTGAAGCATGTTTGCAGTTATTTCAATGTCTGACTTCAGTGCTTCTGCTGGTATATTGTCAGGTCCTGCCGCCTTCCCACTTTTGATTTGTCCGATGGCCATCTTGACTTCTTCGATCGTTGGTGGAGTGATATCTATTGGAAGGTCAGTGTGGGCTGCTTCGATGTTCGGTGGATTCAATGGGGCTGGTCTATTCAGCAGTTCCTCGAAGTATTCTGCCCATCTTTTCCTCTGTTCTTGAATCTCAGTGATTGTCTTACCTTCTTTGTCCTTGACTGGTCTCTCTGGTTTGCTATATCTCCCTGCCAATTTCTTCGTTGTATCATATAGTTGTTTCATATTCCCTTCTCTTGCAGCTTTTTCCGCCGTCGTTGCTAGTTCTCCCATATATTTCTGCTTGTCGGCTTTAATGCTTTTCTTCACTTCCCTGTTTGCTTCTGCGTAGTCTGCTTGTGCTTTGACTTTCTCTGCTCGTGTTCGGCTGTTGTTAATTGCTAGTCTCTTGTTCTTCCTTTCTTGAATTTTGTCCAGGGTTCCCATAGAGATCCATTCCTTGTGATGATGCTTCTTAGGACCAAGAACCTCCTGACACGTTGAAGTTAGTGCTTCTTTTATCCCTTTCCAGTTGTCCTCCAAAGTAGTTTCTTGTTCTTTCAGTAGATCCTGTAGAGCTTGGAACCTGTTGTTGAGAGTTATCTTGAATTAATGGAGATTGTCAGCATCTCGAAGGAAGGCTGTATTAAACCTTTGTAGTGCTGTTTGTCCAGTTTTCCAGTGTTTCTTAAGCTTCAGTCTCATCATGGCCACAACCAGGTGGTGATCTGAAGCTATGTCAGCTCCTCTCCGGGTTCTCACATCTTCCATTGATCTTCGGAATTTTTTGTTGATACAGATGTGATCTATCTGGTTCTCTGTGGTGTGGTCCGGTGAAATCCATGTAGCTTTATGTATGCGTTTGTGTGGGAATATTGTGCCGCCTATAACCAATTTGTTGAAAGCACATAGGTTTGCAAGTCTCTCCCCATTTTCATTTCTTTCTCCTAGTCCATGTCGTCCGATTACATCTTCATATCCTGTGTTGTCCACTCCAACTTTAGCATTTAGATCTCCCGTCAGGATGGTGAGGTCCTTTCGTGAGCACTCCTCTATAATTGATTGCAGCCTTTCATAGAACTGATCTTTATCATCGTCGTTGCTATCATTGGTGGGTGCATAACATTGGATAACCTTCATTGTGATCCCTTGCTTCTTTGTTCTGAATGATGCTTTGATTATCCTGGGTCCATGAGATTCCCATCCCACAAGTGCATTTCGTGCTTCTTTGGAGAGCATTAGAGCAACTCCCTGAGTGTGTGGCGCATTTTCCCCTTCGTGACCGGAGTACAGCAGCATCTCTCCTGTACCTAGCCTTTGTTGTCCAGTTTGTGTCCAATGGGTTTCGCTGATTCCGAGTACTGCCAAGTTGTATCTCCTCATTTCCATTGCTATTTGGCTGGTCTTTCCTGTCTCCCACATTGTCCGGACGTTCCATGTACCTATAAAGAGTGTTGCTCTGGTTGTTAGAAGGTGCATCGGTCTCGTGACTTCCGAAGAATTTCGGCCCTCATCATGAGACGTCATTATTCCTTCAACTCCTAGGGCAGAGTTTAAATGGTTTGAATTATTTTTTCTGGTTAGCGTTTTCTTAGCGAGTTAGCTTTTCTACGGGATTGGGTCGCTAACCCCATGCCCAACCCTCCTCCTTTACCCGTGCTTGGGACCGGCAGTAACTCGAGAAGAGCTACAGGCGGATACCTAATACTATATCTAACCCATCTCTGTGCTGTATAGTCCATACGAGTTCACGCATAATAAATAACTACGGATATCTGACTTACAATTCTTTCATTACATGAAACGGAAATTCTGGGTTAAAATGCTAATTACTAGCAAAACATTCAACAGACTACATTATTGATGTAATATTAAAAATTACTTAAAATAAATCATGAAATAAGCATGTATTGGAATGATATATTGACAGATTCCAAACTTGAATTGCTAAATACTCTGGTGAGAAAAAAATCACTTAGTTGTGTAACACTATCATAGATTAAGTGCATCTACAATAAACGTACATCATTATTGATACTGTGTTCATTTGTCAAGCATTTTGCTTCATGAAGATAAAAGCTGAATATTAAACTTTTATATTTGTCGATGTCCAATGTACAGCATCATACAATAGGTGTTTGTTTGAAAATTATGGCCAAATATTTTAGAACTGCGCAGTTAATACAATAAATTTTCTTAATTTAAATTTGTTTTGTCGAAGTAATTAAGTTTTACTGAATAACTAAATATACACTTGATTTTTCTCGAAATTTCCAAAATCTATCGTGATTCTAAACAATTTAAAATATACACCTTACTTGGAACCAATACACTTGTTAATTACTTCCGTATCATTATTGTCTGTTTATTTTGCTTTTTGCCTATTCTTTGAAGATATAAGAGGAGAATACACTGAAATTCATACGTTTGTTTTATTATGCAATAAGGAAATAATCAGAAACACTTGTGTTTTAAAACATCTGTTCCAAAAAAGATACACGTTCAGTGGAATTTTAAGGAACAATCGATATTATTTTTATTGTGAGTTCTTCACTGTGATCAAAAATTCAGTAATAAACATTATTTAGATCAATTTGTTTAGATTCATGGTTTGTAGACAAAAGATCTTCACAAAGGTTATTGCATCTTTTATGGTTGTGGAACAAATTACCAAGCATTGTAATTGTGACATCTCATATAATGTTTTCATAGCTATATATTTTTACTTCTTGGTGAAAATTTTTACCAAAATGGCTTAGTCTAACATCATCTTTACCTGTTTTCAGTGCCGAAAAGTAGATTATATTACTATCAAATTTATGATCTCTTAATCATTGCTTAAATGGTCTATCACCTTAGCCATACAACTTTCCAAAAAGTATCAGATTAACCCGAAATAAACGTCCATAGAACTTGTGTTGGATTTAAACACGCCAAATTCCTTGTATACTCTATAGATATGGATACCAGTTGGACAGTTTTATACCACAAATTTTACATGTACCGTCCTATTAAAGCATAAATATTTAAATGCTATTCACAGGTCAAAATGTGGTAGATCATTGTGGGATCCTCGACTAACTTTCTTCATCAGTTTTCAGGTTATAAATTCAGTGTCCATTGTTAAATCCATCAACATGTGAACAAGTACTGTACATATTTTAGGGTGCTGCATACAAAAGTTATACTTCGAATTGTTCGTTGCATTTTACAAAGCTATTTTGGATTTAGCTATAGACATCCCTTTCTATTTCAACCTTTTGTCACTATGTGTCTTACTGTGTTCAATGTAGTTCACTCATTTCAATTTATGTAAAAATTCCCATTCAACACAACAAACTTGTGATTCAAACATATGTTTAGGGATATAGTAAGAGGATGAATAACTAGAGATTTTTTTTGGTAGAAAATTTTTTCGATGCTTACACTCAGTGATTGGAATAGCTTTAACAATAAACCGTAATGCCTTCACACAAATTCGATTATATTTCTCAATGTATTACATGGAATTCAAAAGTGGTTGATATCTCGTTTTGGGTAAGTTATCTATGGCTTTTTTGCAAGTATTTTTATGTATTTTGAAAAGTCATGATACAGTTTATTAAGGTATGAAACACAATTATGAATTTTAGAAATGAATACGGTATTTTTGATATGTTTATGTAATCAAAAATAGACATGGTTTGAAACTCAGGTACATGCTTTCAGTTTAACTGAACTGATTTCATCGACATTCTCTACACTGTCATCATCTCCTGCTTCAAGATTTGACCGATTTGTGAATTCTGAAGGTCTTGTTTATTGTCGGTTGCTTTCCATTGCATTTTTAATAACTGTTTTTAACTCAAGTTGGTTGTGTTGTCCAGAATTATAAATAAGACTTCACAGTTAAACTAATCAGATCAGAAAATAAAACATAATAAATCTACGAAAAAATGATTAACGGACATACAACTGCCTATTTTATGCAATTCATTATTATTTCAAATACTTTAACCCTTACGGTAAGCAGAGATGGATAGTGGCTAGCAGTGGAATCCAGGACGCGCGTTTCGTCCTATTTGGGACTCGTCAGCTGGATGTACCTGCATCTCAGAGTTGATGTTCACCCTTGTTTAAATCTAAAATAAATATACATTGTTTATCTGTTAAAGAAAACAATGAAGGGAACAAAACTTAATCTAACATGTCATTTTTATCCATTCTTTTTTTCAATACATACGTTGTAAACAAAGATTCAACGACGTCTGTCTTTCATTCAAAGTGAATTATTTCCACGGACACCATCAAGTTATCGTATCATCAGTTCATCGATTTATTTAACTAGACTACTCATTTACTAAATAGTTTTTGTGCAGCTTATAATTTACTACACTACGATAAAATATTATAGTGAATCGAAATGTTATAAAATTCTGAAAAAAATATAATGATTGGTCACTTTATTGGGATAAACCAATCAGCTGTTGATTTTTATTAAAAATAAGAAATTTAAGGAAAAATGAAAACAAAAGAACAAAGTGAAGGGTAGTGAGAGTTAGATAATTGTTTAACTGAATGGTGTTGAATTACGAATACAAACATAAAGAAATAGATATATACACAAGTCATTGATAAAAGTCAAATGATTTAAAGGAAAACTAATGCTCATCAACATATATACATACAAATTTTACCTAAGAAAATATATATGTTAAATACTCATATGAAAAAGAGAAAATAATTGAAATAAACTGTCCTAAATCTAAGCGAACTCCTCGAGTCGTTTAATTTTATTAATGTTTGATTACACATGATTATGTGCAGTATAGTCAATTATCCGAATACCGTCAGATTATTTTACAACTTTCGAAGGAAATAACAATCACCCGATAAACTATAGAGTGTATTTTGACAGTTTTGACCATTCAAAGATATACCACTTTACTACGAAACAGTAAGTTTAAAAATCATTTGAAATATATCTGGTATTAATGATACATTTCAGCAGCTAAAATTTGTTGTATTGGTATTTATCAACTTTGATTCTAGACGCAAAAATTTGCCTAAATTTTTTTGTTATCATTTTCTTATAAATAAAATTATAGAAGTAAAAGAACCGTTTAATTAAAACTCTAATTCTAATTTTTATATGATGTCAATGAAAGGATTTGTACCATAGAAACATAGCTTAATCAGTGAGATCTACTATATAGTTACCCGTTTAAAACAGTTAGGTCACTGTAGTATGTCACTAGTTTGGGTTAAGTCATTTTTAGTTCGATATATATATATATATATATGCTGTTTACTTGCATTAAATAATTCCAAGTAAATTTATATGGTTAAGATCATGAGTAAATTGAAGCTACACCACCATGGAAAACCTGGAAGCACTGGACGGCCGTTTCGTCTTATTGTGGGACTCCTCAGCAGCGCGTATCGACAACCTCGCCTCGCGGACGAAGCGGCCGTCCAGTGCTTCCAGGTTCTCCACGGTGGTCTAGCTTTAATTGTCTCATGATCTTAACTATATAAAATTACTAAAATCTCCACAAAACCTCCTTGTGATAATTCCACGTAAAATCCATTTTTGTTTCATACAATTTTCAAACGAATTTCTTGATTTTTTTATCATAGTCAGTCAAACTACTTTGTGAAGTTATTCAAATTTGATAGGAATCTCTTTTGGTAGAATACTTAAATTCATTGTATAATATGATATGAAATGATATAAATAGATTAATGTATTTGCAATATCCCAATGAGTAGAAAAATTAGATTTTCTGACTTTTCGTGACTCAGTGTAAGCCATTTCTTCAGAGAATCTATTCAAAATTATCAAATCAAAACTTGCTAATGATACTTACAAGCTCATTAATAACCGGATGAAATGATATAGTTAATTGCTTTTTCAGATGTTTCTTAAATCTACTGTATAAGATATATAGACAAAAAATATACTATTGTTGTATACAGCAGGAGCAACTTTGTCATATGACGTACAGTTTCAACACAAACAAACATTTTTATAATATTAATAAAGTAACATCTAAACTGAAGATTCCATAAAGTTTTAAATCGTTCCAGACATTACAGTACTCAACACTTCGTGCAACTTAGCATACACTATATTCCAATACTATATCATTGTCTAAAATACAATTACTGGTTATCATGGTAATCGAGCTTGTCTTAATAAAAGCAATCACTCGTAAGTTAAAAGATTTCGTACTTAGACATTTTATTATAATAATTATTTTTATTCGGACCTACATAAACTAGAGATCTTCTGTATTCATAAAGCATCTGCTATATATTTCTCGTAGATGCAAAATGGATCCTTTGAATCATAATTTCAGAGACAAATAGTTCATATGTTTATGCTGTTAGTAGGCATAAGTTCAGTATTTTCCTACTTAAGCATAAACAATGCTATAAATTTAAAGCTTTAGAATTCTGAAATATGCAAATAAAATCACAAGTCAATGATAGGCTATACACAGTTGAGAATTTTATACGAAGGTTAAAATATTCCGCTATTTCATCATGTGAATAATTCTTTTATTCCAGTAACTGGAAATCAGCGTGTATGGAAATACAGTGAACGTTTTCATTAATTGTTTTTACTTATGCAAATTTATTGCTCATTACCTAGTTAAATCGACGATATTCAACACAAACTAATTCAATCTACAATAGTATACGGTTGTTTTACTTCATTGTTACGGAAACTATTACATTTCGATTTCACTTAGTTTTAACATCTGGTAGAACAAGGATAAGAAAAAAATATCAATAATAATAGCGCCACATTTGTTTTACAAATTCCATAGTGGACTATTTATTAACAATCGCAGGTTCAGCATCTAAAATCACATTTTATCAAAACATTATGGTACATGATATTTTCCTTCCTATAAGAAAGATTTCATTGTATGTAATATGTGCGCCTATAAGTAAAAAAATCGAGTATTTGGTCAACGAGGTTGATCAGGTGCACTAATAACGATTTACTGGTTAAGGAACAAAATAAACATCTGTTAAACAGTAGCCAAAAGGCATGAATTACCAGGTGAATATTTTGTTTCAGTCATGTAATCTGTGCAGTTTACATTTATTCGACAAAAATTATGTAGTATCAGACTCAGTATTTCATCACGTCAATGAAATCAGCAGGCTCTTTTACATTTTGAGAGAGATGATGATACGTTATGTAAAGCCAGATTCATGTACGAAATCGTTTCTTATCACAATTTTGATCTCTTTTATATTTGCCTAATTTGCTTTACGTTTTAATATACGATCTTTTGTTTTTTGTTTAATCCTCTTATTATTTTCAAGTGGCACGTTGTCTTATCCTTCTTAATTTTTTGCAGCTAAATATATTTCACTGACATTCACTCATTGCATTCATCCTATTATTATTATATGGTTACTTTTCATCCATTACCGTTCTCATGTGATTTTCTCTATTCATCAACTTCGAAAGTTATTCTAGTTTTCCACATTGTAGTTGTGTTTTAGACATATGGTTAATCTCACTGATGATTAATCTGTCCTGCAGCTGAATAGTTCTTCTCGATGAAATTTTGTCATGAAGATTAATTTATTCTGTAAATGATATTGCCGATGAATCATTCTCATTGGGGGTACCGACTTGTATCTGAAGTGCACGGTTGGTTAAGTTAGATAGATTTCAGGCTCATTGTGTGTTGACAGGAGCCTCGTATTATTTAAGCTCTTGAAAATGGTAGATACTAATTTCAAAAATACACTGAAATTCGTCAGCAGAATATATGTATCAATGCTCGAATCGCACGAATTGTAAAATTACTTTTATCAGTAAACATTTTCAACATGTTCACAACTAGGTCTAGCGTCCGCAGACTGAGTTCAAAATGTGATTAATTATCAGGATTTTACAAAATGCTTCATTCCCGGTCGTTTAACTGAATCTGTTGACGACGCAAGTAAGTAGCCTCAAACAAAAACAAGTACGTTACTTTGAATAAACGAATAATAATGTCCTCTCTAAATCAGATCTTTTGTGACATTATAAATAAGGCTGTTCTGTTGAATAAATTATGAAGTGCTGAAATTGAAATATTAAAGTGTATACAAGAAGCTGAGTTTTAAGGAATTTTAAGATAAAACTGCTATGGTAATATAGGAGTTCATGATGCCAATTAGTTCAAATCACTTGATGCACTATGAATGAGTGATTTATTAAGGGCACTAGGGAGGTACTTTGAATAAGTTTACATATCCTTGGCACTCTTCAACTGTGACCACAAAATTCATTAAAATATAGGCCATACGAACAAAGTGATTACGGTAACATATGGTTTGGAATTACCTATCTATTTCAATTCATGACGCAATATGACCCTTATTCAGTATCACTAATAATCAACTATTCATTAGACTGCCATGGCTAACTACTCATATCACGGGAACCTAAAAGATTGACAGAGACTTTATCACATAAGTAGTGGCTAGTGGCCACGTGAAACGTAATAAATAGTCATTTAAAAATCTTCAACAAACTACTTATCAATCCCAAACTACCGAATTATTACTCCCTAATGTTTTCTGATTTATGTTTTCTCTATAACTGATGTTAGTTTTTGGTAATAGTTCACACAAATGCTATTAGACAATATACATCTCTCAGTAACATAGAATACTGTAAATATCAGTTGTACGTAAGTTATGTCCTCGTATTTTTTACGTTTTGTAAACAAATACTTATGATTCATGGCTAGTGACGTCAAATAAAATGACTTAATTGGGTACAACAATATTTCGAGTAGAATTAATTGTCTATTTTTCACGTACGGTTTTGTGAAGATAATGGAATTTTTAGACTTTAAATCACTTAATTCTTCCTTGAACCACCGCCGAAAACTTGAAAGCGCTAAACGGTCGTTTTGTCGCAGTATTGAGTTGCTCAGCATTGGACATCCATAAACTATAAAAATGCCATCTAGAAACTGGTCACCGGTGACCACTGTTTATCTGAATATTGTTCAGTAATACTTTTTGGAAGAGATTGAATACTCTTCTTTCATTTGATAAGTATACAAATTTACGGATGTTAAAATTTAATTAGATGGTTTGATTTTTATTTGTTTATTTCTTCTCTGACATCAGATTTATCTTTCAAGTTATTTATACCAAACACTCGGTTCACTTTTCATTTGTAACTAATCCTGATGATTGAGCAGCTTTGATTACTATTCATTTAATCTGTATTTCATTTGTTTTAATTACTTATTTGAAAAAAATAGAAAAGAACTAGTCATCCTTTTGTCAGATAGTGAATTTCTTTAATATTAAGTAATACAACCAAGGAAAATATTAATGCTTTTTAATCAAAGTACCAAATCACATGATGATATTATGCTTTAACGAAACTAGAAATAAAAAGTTCCAGAGTGAACATCAATTCTGAGATGCAGGTACATCCAGCTGACGAGTCCCAAAGAGGACGAAATGCGCGTCCTAGATTCCACTGCTAGCCACTATCCATCTTTGCTTATAAAAGTTCGAAATAAATTCAGATTATCTCTTCACCTAAATCCAATCGCATATAAAAAAAACATTAAATTACTTTCTGTTTTAAGGGATTGATTTTCAAGTTAGCGTTTCATTTTACTAACCGAAATGTTAACTCCATCCGTGTGAATAACTACCAAATTCTGCGTAAATCATTATTATATTGTTTTTTCCATATTTGAAATAAATTATCACCTGATTAGAGATCAATCATAAGTAAAAAGTACATGAAATCTGTGATTTCAGCAGTTTATATATGACTTCAAGCAAATTTTAACGACTCTTTCAAAATTAAATAACTATTCAGCATAAACAGTTTGAATATTGTGACAAAATCAGATTCCTACTACAATGCATAAAGGATGTGTGGTTGACTATCCTCTTTGTTAACAGAAA